GCCGTTGCCCTGCCCTGGTGCGGATGGCGTTGCTGAGGGCGGTGGTGATCCCAATGAAGGGGATCGTCGTGGGGGGACTGGAAGCGCCGGTCTCTTCAAGTGCGCATTTAATATCTTTATGGGAAATGTGGCGTCTGGCGTGTTTCTTGTGCCCAACTTCTACCGGTATGCTGGGTATGTGATGTCCCCAATCATTGGCCTGGTCCTCGGCTCCATCGTGGTGGACTGTTCCCGGCTGCTGCTCCGCGCCAAAACAATGGTGAACCGAGGCTCTGTTTCGGACTATTTGCAGCTTTGTGGTTTTGTGCTCGGGAAGCCCTTTCAGTACGTTTTTCTCGTGGCCCTGCTTTTGACCCAACTCGGCTTCTGTGTGGTTTACCTGCAGCTGTTTGGAGGCACCATCGCAAGATTTGCGGCAACATTTCCAGGCGCGGAGTACATTTGGATGACCTTTATGTTTGTTGTTGTCCTGCCCATGACATTTTTTGGCCATAACTCGACGTTTCTCTTGGTTATATCCATCATCTCCGCAGTATCTATGATCTTCGCGGTGCTGTATACGATGGTTTTGGCGATGATGTCACTTGGTGAGTGGGGCATGTATCCATGGACAACGCCCTGGGGAAATGATATACCGTTTGGTTGGTTTAACAACGCGGCAAGTGCCATGATGCTGCTGGGGGGAATTGCTGCTGTTTTGCCCATCGAGAATTCGTGCAAGAAGAGGCCTTCGTTTCCGCGGGTGCTCACCGTCGTTCTGTACTCAGTTGTTGGCTGGTACCTGCTGTACGGGTTGGTAGGGTACCTGGCGTATGGCGAGGCGCTGAAGTTTCCGATGGTGGAAGGACTTGCCGCGACGGGTTCTGCTATTGGGGCGTGGGTGCCATTTTTGCTCAACCTCCTGTGCTCGTACCCCATCCTCTTTACGCCCGCAGTGTTGCAGCTGGACTCACTGCTTGGGTGCCGCCCCCGGTCTAGCAAAGGAGTCTTGACGCGGTTTGCCGCAAATCTGGTCGTGTGTGCCGCTGCGATGGGCGCGGGAACTGGCACCGTCTTTTTCGTGGTTTCCCTGATCGGGGCGCTCCCGGCTGCGGTCATCTTGCTGCTGCTGCCGGCGCTGCTCTCGCTCTTCGTGGAGTCCAGCGTGGAGGACCCTGCCGAGCCACGCATGTCGCGGGAGTACTGGCGGCGCAGCCTATTTGGCAGGCGCTGCACACTCATCAGGGCACGCGCCTACGTGTACCTTCTCCTTGGCGCCCTGATTATGGCTCTGGGGACCCTCGGCGCCGTGAAGGCTCTCGTGAGGTGAATGCTGCAAGTAGCCGCTTTGACTTTTCCTCCTCCCGATTTTCGTTTTTTTTTAGTTTATTCTTGTGCATTTTTTTTGTTAAGAATTTGTTTTGATTTTTTTTTCTCTTTGGTAAACTCAAAGCGTATTGTGCCCGTGCGAGGGCCGAGGGTTGGGGAAGGGCGAAAACGCCCGGGCCCGTTATTTTTTCTTAGTCGCTTATTGTTTTCTGCCGACTTGTTCCCTTTTTATTTGCGTGTCTGCAGTTCAGTGCGCGCGGCAGGTGCCGCAATATTACAACCCCCCCGTGCTGCGCTCGGTGCGGGGGTCCACTGCCCCATTTTGTGGCGGCTCCATGGCGCGAAAGGGGAAAGCGGTTCTTTTTTCTTTATTTCTTCCTTCCACAGTTCCCAGCTCTTCATTTGTTTTTTTTTCTTTTATAGTATTCATTTCTGCTGCCCATTGGGGCGGATTGACGTCCCTCTTTGCTTCTTTGCTTCTCTGCGAATACAGGCGCGTTTCCGCCGTGCGGGGCCGTGCGCCTTGCGGCTGGATGGCAGTGGGACTGCAGTGCCTTTTTTTTGTTTTCTCTCTTGCACGTTTTCTCCCCTTCACTTCTCCTTTTTTGCCAGTAACACACACAGCCGTCGCTGACTGAGCGGTTCCAACGCAATAAAGAAGAAAGAAGAGAGTGGGAAATAGAGTGAGAAGCAGCGGCACGACATGTCCCTGCACTGGCTTTCCTCAGCGGTGCTCCTGCTCTTTTTGTTGGTATGCTGCGGCGGCAGTGGGGCTGGGGCCAACGCTGCGAAGACCCCAGAGGCGTCGAAGGAGTTTGAGCTCTTCAAGCCAGGGGAAACTCCAGGGTTTGCTGCTGGGGAAGAGGGCGACAATGCTCTTTACGAAAGTGTCTCCTCTTTCTACGGTCACTCCCTTCTTGAGATGAGGGGTGTGCTGGTTGCCCTTGCCGTCGGCGCACGCGACGACAGAGGGAGCAACGTGGGTTTTGACCTTTGGGCGAAGTACAGTGCGCACGGGGCAGATGAAAAGTTGAAGGAAGACGTTGCATGGGAAGGAAAAGAGTGGAGGACGCAGCTGGTGACGAAGCGACAGGGAGAAGCGATTCGCAATAGGGAACTGTTTGGTCCGAAGGCTCTGGTGACGGAGAGCAAAATATATCTGCTTCTGTCAACAGTGGCGATGACCGGCACTTATCCGCCTCTTGCAGATGGCTGGGACCTTGTGCTGATCGTTGGTGACGTTCCGAAGCCCGTGGAAGGGGAGAAACCGATCGCGTGGGGGGAGCCCACGTCGGTGAAGTCGGCGCTTGCCGAACAGATGCAGAAGAACTCATGGGCCGGGCTGTACGTTGCCGGAGGCGCCAGAGGCGTTGCGGTGGGGGACGCGACAATTCTCTTCCCTCTTGCGGGAGCTACCCACGGGGAAGCAGGCGCACGTGCCTGCACCGTCGTTTACTCCGACGACAGGGGGAGTAGCTGGAAGTTTCCTGCGGCGCCTGTGATTGCTCAGGGCTGTGACGGTGCCACGCTTCTCGAGTGGGCAGACAAACTCTTCATGGCCACCTCTGGACCTTCTCCGTGGCGGCGCAGGGTCTTCGAATCCGGGGACAAGGGGAAGACGTGGAACGAGGCAGCCGGGCCCTTCGCACGCCTGTTGGGCGACGCATACGTGTTGTCTATGGGCTCCGGTGCTTCCGACCTCATCAGTGCAACCA